GTGGATCTTTATTACTTATGTAATTATTCAATTATGTAATTATTCAAATAATGAGAATATCCTGTAGACACTGTTCATCACACTTCTTCATCATCTTCATATGGACGTAAACCAAAGAGTCTCTGCAGATCAAATACGTCCTCGCGAGTAATTTTTCTTCCCATAAAAAGTATAAATACTCCTTGTGTTGGCGACGCTGATACCGTATCCATCGCCGATGATTAATATTCATAAAGCCATTAATTTTGATTTCATATATGCATAAGTACTGCAAATAATAATAAAAAATCTCAATTTCACACAATTCATTACATATCAAATAAAGGAAAAAAGACAAAAGAGAGAAAAAAGAAAAAAGGAGAAAAAGTTACGTACTCCATTCGGATGGCGTATTTGAATTTTTATAAGATTCCGTACTTGCACAGTTTCCACGACTGAGATACCATCGAGATATAATGTCTGTCAAATTACAAAAATATTGAGTTTAATATTTTTTACAATATTGAGTTTAATAATATTTTTAAACATTAGAAAGATACATGTGAATAAATATACTTACTGCTTCAGTTGGATAAGTAATTTTTAACAAATCTCTAATATACGCCAAATAATCGAATTCCCGCGATGTCTTTTCACTTGCCATTTCTTCTCGTTGAACGTGTACGTTAGACACTACGCGATACTTTTGCGTTTTTTTGTATGCACGCTTTTCTCTCTCTCTCACATTAGACTTCCATCTACCGTGATCCTGCACACTCCATGACCCATTATATATCATCGACAATTTCTTTGTTTAAATCGGAACATCATCATCATCATAGGTCTCCCCGATTTGTTTATAGCAGCCGGAGTATCGGCGCTTCTCTTGACACGCCGCGTTCAGTCATGCAATGAGTCTTGTGGAGGCATTGAAACGTGGCCTCGATAATAATTTTTGTGCGCAAAGAATCACTGGTGCGTGAAAAAAAACAATTGCTTTTTGCGTGAAGAACTTTGAGTGCAACGCAATGGAATTACCACGCGTCATTCTCCGCACAAGATTCAACGGAGTAGAGTACCATGGTAACTTTGTAGTATTTGTGGAGGAACAACGTATTTATTACATTGACAATAACCCTCTCATTGGTGCCACGCAACTGCCATGGCTAATATCCTTGTACGAACATATTCGTACATTGGC